CATTATGTCATCTCTGCCCCAGGAGTTTTCTCCATTTACGATCAATTATAATGCAATGAAGATCAAGTGGGGCATTGATGAATTAATAGCCATGTGTGTACAAGAAGAGGAAAGGCTTAAGGCAGAAAGAGTTGACCATGCAAATCTATTTAAACACTCTGAGAAGAAAAAAGTATAAGAAATTTAAGGAGTATTTGAAGCCTAAGCCTAGTTAATTTAAAGAAAAGGGGCAATGTTCAAATCAATCCCAGCAGAATAAATCTGGAGGAAATCCCTATACAGAAGAAAAGGGAAAAGAAAAGGATGGGTGCTAGTTTTGTGGAAAGAGTGGACACCGGCAAAAGGAATGTATTGGGTTTATGAGATGGCTTAGTAAGAAAGGTACTGATGTTATTTCTTTTGTTGATGAATCCCTGAATATTGATTATGCCACCAATTCTTGGTGGATTGACTCAGGAGCGACAATTCATGTTGCAAATTCCTTGTAGGGATTCGCTATGAGGAGGACCCTAAGAAGAGGGGAAAGAAGAATTAGAGATGCTAATGGAGTTGAAACTGAAGTTAAGGCCATTGGAGACTTCACTCTCACACTTCATACTGGCTTTAAACTTCAACTGCATGACGTCCTTTATGTACCCTCTATGAAAAGGAACTTAGTTTCAGTTTCACGTTTAGATAACGGTGGTTACTATTGTACTTTTGGAAACAATAGATGTATAATTATGCATGATAATAAAGAGGTTGGTCTCGCCGTTGGACAGGAACAACTTTATCAAATTTCTGTGTGCGATGCCACCTATAATGTTGACTCCTCAAATGCAAATGTCAGTACCAAACGAAAACATAACGATAATGAGACTTCTTCGAAATTATGGCACTATCGTTTGGGCCATATTTCGAGGGGGAGAATTGAGCGTCTCATTAAAGAAAACATCCTCTGTCCTTTGGACTTCTCAGATGCAGATGTTGATCACTGCATTGATTGCATCAAAGGAAAATATTCCAAGCAAATCAAGAAAGGTGCAAATCGAAGTATGGGAGTTTTGGAAATCATCCACACAAACATCTGTGGTCCATTTAATGTAAAGTCAGTGGATGGATTTGATTTATTCATAACATTTACCGACGACTACTCTCGCTATGGATATATCTATCCAATCAAAGAAAGATCTGAGGCATTAGACAAATTTAAAATTTTCAAAGCAGAAGTTGAGAATCAACATGATCGAAAGATCAAAATTGTAAGGTCTGACCATGGTGGTGAATACTATGGTAGACATACTACTTATGGTCAAATTCCTGGACCTTTTGCGAGGTTCTTACAAGAAAATGGCATTAAGGCCCAGTACTCAGCACCGGGTGAACCCCAGCAAAATGGAGTAGCTGAAAGGCATAATCGCACTCTTATGTATATGGTACGAAGTATGTTAAGTCACTCCCCTCTGCCGGTAAAGTTATGGATGGAAGCTCTTAAGACAGCTGCACACATTCTTAACAGGGTTCCCAGTAAATCAGTTCCTAAGACACCTTTTGAGTTATGGACTGGGAAGAAACCAACCCTGAACTATTTTCATGTGTGGGGTTGTCCTGCTGAAGCACGATTTTTTAATCCAAACATGGGAAAATTAGACCTCAAAACAATCAGTTGTCATTTTATCGGTTATCCTGATAAGTCGAAGGCATATAGATTCTACTGCCGAAATCAGTTTACAAAGTTTATTGAGACAAGACACGCTGTGTTCTTGGAAAATGACATAATCAAGGGGAGTATGACACCCAGAGAAGTTGTTCTGGAAGAGAAACGGAATTATGTTCCAATGCCTATAATTGAAGAACCCGTTTTCTCAACACATACTCATGTTGCACCTTTAATAGAAAGAAATAATGATGCAACACCTGCTGAAGCTCCTGCAACTACTTCTAGTAGTGTATCAAATGATGAGAATAATGAGAATGCTCAGCAGCCCCATGTTGTGATAGATGAGAAAAATAACGAACCCGTCAGAAGATCACGACGAGTTAGAAAGTCAGCGATTCCAAGTGACTATGTCACTTACATGAATGAAGAGGTGAATGAACCTATGAGTGAAGAGGTGAATGAGCCTATACTAGATAATGATCCCATCTCATTTAAAGAAGCAATGAAGAGTGAACATTCGTCTGAATGGCTAAAAGCTATGAAAGACAAAATGAAGTCCATGAGTACTAATAAGGTCTGGGACTTAGTAGAAATTCCCGAAGGAGCCAAAACAGTTGGCTGCAAATGGGTCTATAAGACTAAACGTGACCTCAAGGGAAATATCGAAAGGTTCAAAGCAAGGCTTGTAGCAAAAGGATTTACGCAAAGAGAAGGGATTGATTATAATGAAACACTTTCTCCAGTCTCTACTAAGGATTCGTTTAGAATTATTATGGCACTAGTTGCCCATTATGATTTGGAATTACACCAAATGGATGTTAAGACGGCATTCCTGAACGGTGATTTGTACGAAGATGTATACATGGCACAACCAGAAGGTTTTGTTATGAAAGGAAAAGAACATATGGGTTGTCATCTAAAGAAATCGATTTATGGACTAAAGCAAGCATCAAGGCAGTGGTATCTAAAGTTTGACCAAATCATAAGACAATTTGGTTTTAAGGAGAATAAAAAGGATGACTGTATATACGCTAAGTTTAAGGAGAGTAAGTTCATCTTCCTAATATTATATGTCGATGACATACTCTTAGCCAATAATGACAAAAATATGCTACTGGAAACAAAGAAATTTATGGCCTCTAAGTTTGAAATGAAAGATCTCGGTGAAGCCACTTATGTGTTGGGTATAGAGATTTACCGAGACAGATCAAATGGTGTTTTGGGGCTATCTCAGAAAGCATATACTGAAGAAGTATAATATGCATAATTGTTCAGCCTCGCCTGCTCCTATAATGAAGGGTGATAAGTATGGAAAATTCCAATGTCCTAAGAATGAGTATGAAGTTGCGCAGATGAAGTCAATACCATATGCTTCAGTTGTCAGAAGCATAATGTATGCACAAGTATGCACTCGCCCTGACTTAGCTTTTGTTACCGGGATGCTTGGCAGATATCAATCTAATCCAGGTCTACAACACTGGAAATTAGCTAAGAAGACCTTGTATCTTCAAGGCACTAAAGACCTCATGCTCACATATAGAAAGTCTGAAAACCTTGAAGTTGTCGGTTATTCGGACTCTGATCTTGCAGGGTGTATTGATGATAAGAAATCCACGTCAGGTTACATATTCACCCTTGCAGGGGGAGCTATATCGTGGAAAAGCTCCAAACAAAAAGTTACTGCATCGTCGACAATGCAGGCTGAGTATGTGGCATGTTATAAAGCTACTGGGCAGGCAATATGACTGAAAAACTTTATCCCGGGATTGAGAGTGGTCGACAGTATATCGAAACCACTCAAATTATACTGTGATAACAAACCAGCAGTATACTATTCGAGTAGCAACAAATCAAGTGCTTCTGCCAAGTACATTGATATCAAGTACCATGTTGTGAAAGAAATGATCCAGGATCAGACAATAAGCGTTGAGTATATGAACACTAAGTTGATGTTAGCGGATCCACTCACAAAAGGCCTACCACCCGTTGTATTTAAAGAACATGTTGCCGGCATGCGTTTGGTAGAAAAGCCTTCGATCCTGGAATAAGAAGGAACCTATATGGCACTGACTCCCCATAAAAAATAAGACGGACTCATTTTGAAATTAAATAGGAACCATAGTCACTTGGTTCAGTGGTGCTTGATATACTTGCCGGCATGCATTTTGACTACTGTAATCTAGTGTCTTGATATACTGTTTTGTTGAAAAGTGAGTCCATAAGTTTGTATAAGCCTAATGTAATAAGTTCAAAGAGCTCGTAAGATTAAAGAAGTTTATTTTAAAATATAATGGTATGCTATAGTCACTGGATTCTGTGATGCTTTATATTGGTCACTGTAATCTTTTGTCTTGGTATACTATTTTATTGAGAAATGGACTTATAAGTTTAGCCTCACGATCAAGGGGGAGAATGTTAGTGTGAACGCAAAATATGATCTTGCAGCTAAACCTAAAGTCGGCAAAGAGATATTTTGTTTAGGGCGATCGCTACAGTGATCGATCTCTCATGAACATCCCTGATCGGGGGATTACCGCCATACCCTAGTGTCGGTTCCCCCTGTGTGCAATGGCTATAAATAGAGATCAATACCTAAGTGTTAAACCCTAAGTTTTCTCTTGCTACCCGATCAAGAAAAACCCACTGAAACACAGGGAAGAACCAAGACATGATTCTCTCTGTGCTTCCAAATTAGAAGAGAAGAAAGAAGAACATAGACAGAGAGATGGGAACTTCAGGAGATCAAGGTATGATCCAATCTCATTTCAATTTGTAGTTCCACTTTGTGCCAAACCGATCCAAAGCATATCCAATATGCTTAACATGTAAAGCTGGATGGATACCTTTTGACTTTGTCATCATATGCTTCTGGGTTCCTTCATTCATCTTGCACATTATGTTTTGCAGGCCAGAGAAGGTTCTGACGGCCTTAAAATTCTAGTATCAACAAGTCAATTTCGGCCCTGTTTAGTTCCAAAGTTTTTTTTCCAAACTTCTAACTTTCCATTACATCAAAACTTTCATACACACACAACTTTTCCATCACATCGTACCAATTTCAACCAAACTTCCAAACTTCAGTGTGAACTAAACATTCATCTGGATTGCTGAAGCTTTAGCGCATTACATTTACAACATCTGCCGTGAAGTGGCTGGATTTCAAGTTCCAAACCAACTAGCTGAATGGCTCGATTGCAAATGCAGCAGCAATCCTCCTGTCCTCTCCTCCTACATGGTACTTTTACTACATCTGAATCTCCTTATTCATCGGATATATACAAGTTTGCACAGGACCACATCAACACAACAGTCCATTCATCAGATAAAACAGAAATTTCAAACTTTCATGTATAGCAAAGCATTCATGCCACGTGATCAGAACAATTTCTATCACCGCGAAAGCAGGTTGAATTAGTCAAGCAAATGGTTGTCTTACCCCCATCATGCAAAACACAAGATAAGACAATGATAAAAAAAACAAGTTAAAATGAATAATAACGGATGGTACTACTTGTACTCAAACTAGAGCGTAGCACTTGCTCAAGCAGAGGTGTTTTCTTCCTTCTGTGGCTGATTGACTACTGTATAGTATGGATGTCAATTTATGTCACAGGGAGGAGGGCAGAACAGCTTCATATACCATGAAGCAAAAGAATCCGCATCTCTATCCTGGAACTTCCTTTCCTTGATCTACAGATTCTACAGATAACCTTCTCAATGCCTACAACAAGCAAAAGAATAAACTAGCAGGAATTAAGGGTTCTTGGCCTTTATCCTAAGCTTCCTGGCAATGGCAGCCGCTCTCGGGTGACTGGGCTTCCTGCTGCTGCCATCGCCACTCTGCTCCATCTCTACCCAGTTGATCACCCTCAGTATCAGCGACTGCGGGCAGCAGCAGCTACTCTGCTTCCGCCCATCCGCCGTCGCCGACGCCTTGCTCTTCTTCTTCAGGCCAGTCTCCAGCGCAGCCTCCACGAAGTCCATAAACCAGCTCGACGCCTCACATTGCATCTGCTTCGCCAGCCTCAACGACGACCCGAGAGCACCGGTGGTAGTACTACCAGAAGAAGATCGCTTCTCGTCGCCGTCTTCTCCGATCTTGTCTAGTACAAGGCACTTTCTGCTGGCGTTGGAGCTCCGGTTCTTGCCGCCGCCGTCATCCAGCGTGCCCGGCGCGAACGACACCGACTTGGACACGCCCAGGGCTCCTCTCCTCTTGGACAACGACGACCTGTTCTGCGCAATCTCCTGCAAGACCGGCGGCTCATCGGCTGCCACGGCGCCGGCCATCGAGGTGGCCGCCTGGATCGACTCGATGTCGGTCACGGCCTGCACGGCCTCCTGGTGGAAGCTGAGGAAGCTCTCGAAGCAGGTGGCCGGTGCGTCGGGCCTCGCCGTCTTGCTCAATTCAGCGAACATCCTGGTCCGGTTGACCAACATAGAATCGATCACTCAATGATAAGTAATACAGCAACTAGCACCTCAATCGAATTTGCTTGGAAGCGAGAATCGCCACATTCACCATTGCCATCAGATAGAGAAGGAAAAGAGAAAGAAAGGATCGTACTTGTAGATCCTGACTACGTTGTCCGTGGCGGAGGCGTTGCGCAGCGCCTCGAGGGCGGCCTTCTGAGCTTGCTCCCTCTGCTCCATGGCTTCCTGAATCAAGGAACGAAGTGAAATCAGCAACCCAATCAGACGACTGCATCAGGACGCTGCGAATTCAGGATGGAAATTGAGTTGAGGGACTTGCCTTCCCCAGGAGATTGAGCTTCCCGGGCACCGGAACGCGAGTGCTCGTGGACGGCCTCTTCTTGGACGACGTCGCGGAGCTGCAGAGCTCATCATCCGAAGACGGTGAGGAGGGTTCTTCCTCCTTGGGCGGCGCTCTTCTGCTCATCGCCCGCGAAGCTGTGTAGCAGCTCATTGAGATCTTCTCCTGCACCGCACAGATAATCAATCGTCTCTTATCACAACTTGTGGATGAAACTCCAATTGCTCAATTATTCAGAGAAGAATCAAATCGAATCTAATCGAATTGAAGAGGGAGTATATAGTGGTGGGTTACGGACGGCGGGGAATGGGCTCTTGGGGATCTTGGGGTGGTCAGGAGCCCTGTCGGCGACGAAGCTCTTGCTCCTGGTGATCCTGGGGAGGACGCTGCTGCTCTTCCTGAGGGAGGAGGCGGTGCTCCGCGCCGGCGAGGGCGCGGGCGGTCTCTCCTTGACGGGCGTCCTGTCTTCGAAGTTGAGCGTGGTGGGCTTGATGACCCTGGGGGAGGCGAGGATTCCGGCATGGTTCTCAGGGCCCCAGGAGCCCCTCCTGGGCGCGGCGGGCTTGGCGCGGGTGGCCGGGTCGGGGGTGCCGACGACGAGCGGGTGGCGGCCGGGAAGGGGCCTGGCGCCGACGATGACGGGGACGGGGGAGCCCGGGTCGAGGCGGTCGAGGTGGACGAACTGGCCGAGCTGGAGCTTGTTGCTGAGGACGAGATCGGCCTGGGGGAGCGGGAGGGTGGCGTAGATGGAGTGGGAGGAGTCGGAGACCTTGACGTAGAACTTGCCATGGCGGGGGAGGAGGTCCTTGTCGTCGAGGTCGGCGGGGACGATGTCGGTGACCTGGAGCAGCGCGGTGCGGTGCTCCCCGACGGGCTTGGCTGCGCCGGCCTTCATGCCGTCGAGCAGCTTGAGGAGGACCCCGGCGGATAGCGTGCTCATGGCGGGCGGATCGATCTGCGATTGAAGGCGTGGGGCGGGGATGATGAAATAGAGGCGAATTATTGGATGGATGGAATCTTGATGATGAACAAGAGGAGATACCTGATCGTGATTCTGATCTTGATCCGATCGAGCAGAGGTGGAGCCGTGGAGGAGAGAATTGGGCGAGGTGGAGGAGGAAGAAGCTGGTTGTGAGGAGGAGGAGCTGAGGAGGAAGATGGAATCCAGAGCAAACACAACCAATGGTCCGTTTGCTTCCTTTTCTTGTGTTGTGATGGGCTTTGGAACGTTACGCACCCCAACGGTCGACTCGCCCCCACCCCCGCGCCGCTTCCCCGCTCTCTCTTTTTCTTCCTTTTCTTTATTTTCCCCTGCCTTTCTTGTGCATTTCGTTTTAAGAAAAAAAAATACTACTCTAGTAAATCAACCCAAGCCACGTCACGTCCCAGGGAGCTACTCCAGCTGGATTTGCCAAGCGGGTAAAGCTAGTGCCTCATCGTTTGGCTTTTTAACGGCTTATTAGAGGATAAAAATAAATTTATAGGTAAAACTTTTATATATGTGTTCTTGGTGATTTAAAAGCCAATGTTGAAAAATAAACTACGTTAAAAATACCTCAAAATCAATATCAAAATTAAGTTTGAAAATTCAAATTTTGGCTTTTTCTTTGGTTGAATAGGCCATCCTATGGGAGCCCTAATCGACCCCCATCCCCTCCCTATACGGCTCCTCTCCCCCCTTCTTTCTCCCCTTCTTCTCTTCCTACGACACCATAATTTTTTTAAAAAATAAAAAAATAGTTAGAAAAATTTATGTATAGAAATACTATATATATATAAACTTTTGACTTATAAACTTTGGGTCTCTAAACTTTATGTGTATAAACTTTAGATGTGTAAACTTGAGATGTACAAACTTTAGATGTATAAATTTACTAAAATAGGAAAGTAATATGGTGCCAAAAAAGGAAATCACGTGGAGGAGGAGGGGAGATTGATCGCCCACTAGCTTTTCCGTTGCGAAGCAGCACATAGTATGGTATAGCACAGTTCAGTTCTGCTTGGTCATTTCGTTATCAGCGTCTCATCAGAAATTAAAATAGAAAAACAAAATGCCTGGACACATACCGTACTAGTACAGGCAAACTACAAATCGGACGTCTCCTTCAATTGTCTCAGTCCTTCGTTTTCTCCTTCAATTTTCGTTCTTTCGCAAGCATTTTGTTCTGAAACAAAAAATTCTACATTTTTCTCCGAGAAAACAAAAAAAAAACTAAAATCCTCTCGATGGACAGACAAATAACGGTGGGCTTTCTTTTAAGAGAAGAGATGGGAGAGCGTTCGGCCCAGGAAGAAGAGCGGCACGATGGAGGGTGGTTTTTGGGCCGTGGGCTGAATGTCAGAAACGGCCCATCGGGAACCCAATCAATCGTCTCCGTCTCCGCCGTTGGACGACCTCTTCTTTCTCCTGCCCCAATGCCGGCGCCGCCGCATCCTCGGCGCTCCGGCTGCATACAATACATGCGCTGTTGCTCTCTCCTTCCTTCCTGCTTAATTGCTTCGTTCTTCCTCCTCGCCTCACTTCCCTGCAGGAGTAGTCTCTCTATCTCTCGAGCTAACGTAATTCCTCCTCCGTCCTCAGTAAAGATCAAGCCGCCGGCTGCCAGGCAAATGTTACAAGTCATTTTCAGGTTCATTCCCTGCATCCAATATATATCGCTCACAAACGTTTACATCCATCCTTCAATCCACAAATCGCATTCACCCACATGCATCATCAATTATTTCATCCTCGACTAGTTTTTTCTACATTTTATTTTATTTTATTTTTTCTTCCAAACATCACTCTCTCAAGCAGGTTTGAATCATGTTACTACTAGTATGGTTTTATGTCATCCTAATGGTACATTTCGCGGGCCAAGCACTCACACCAGCCACTCACTTCACTGTACTGCCTTCATTTCATCTCTCCGACGGTAACACTGAAACTGAAATTCTGGCTACCGCGGCATCAAATCCTTTTTGCTTGTAATCCAGGATATCATATCCCTGTAGCTAACACTCAGCGGTGCACAGGGTCCACATAAACCAGAACATTTCTTTCTATGGCCAGGCAAATCCAAAGTTTTAGGACTACTAGTTCTAGTTCAGGCCAGCCAGGGGAGGGGGGAACGTGGCCGTCGCCGTTCGATCGGCTCCGATCCTTTCTCCGGCTGTGCTGTTGCCGTCTCCGGGCACCGCGAAAGCTGAGGCTCCATCTCTCACACCTTCTCAGGAATTTGAGGCTCAGCTCGACCAAATTCCTCCTCTCCTCTCCTCTCCTCTGCTCTGCTTTCTACTTCCTCTGCCCGATCGACCCACTGGATGATTGGAGTGAGTTGCTCTCTACTGTACTACTACTAGAGTAAGTAAAGATGAAGCTGCTTCGGCTAAAATGTGACCTTGTCATTTTCAGGCTCATTTCCTGTATTTAGTCCGTCACAAACGTTTGTATGCATTGAGCCACGTGCATGAATTGCTGTATCATCTTCTTTTCTTTCTCCATTTCTTCCAAACATCACTATCAGTTAACCAACTTTCTAGTACTTAGATACTACTCCAGTACTAAGTACTATACTGATACTCTACTCGTAGTAGTACGAACAATAGTTAGGCACATGCACAACAGCCACTATACCACCTTCGTTTCTCTGATAGCAACACGCCAACACGGATACTGAAATTCTGCTTCCACCTTTTCATACAAGTAGCAAATACTCCTACGCAGTAGTAAGTTCTGCTATTGTACTTGTGTCAATTGTAATCCACATCCTTCTTGTAGCTAAATGCAGAGGATCATATCTGGTCCTGGGGCTTACTTCTTTCTGCATATTTCTCAAAGCCATGATTCCTTTTCCAAGGATCGCCCCCATTATAATTTTTGAAAGAGCAAGGCGAATTTGCTGGTGTATAGAATTAAGAAGAGACTGCCCCCATTTTAAGGATTATCACATCATTGCCTCTCAAAAATAATGATGCGAGGCTAGAGAGCATGCAGTAAACCAAATACTAGTACGTACTTACATCGGACTGGATTAATTTCAGGCACAAAAGAGAACACTCACACACAGTATACTACTGGAGTACTCCTACATGATAGACTGGAGACATATACGTAGGGCAGGCAGCTAGCTAGGGGATACAAAAACGTTAGCCAAGAGTTAGTAGTAATAACAGCTTGCTCCCGCTCATGCCATCCATTAGCTTAGTGTAAACTCTTGTTTCTCACTAATTAACCTAGCTACCTAGAGGCTCTCTGGTCTGCTACTCTTTATACTTCTTATCATCACAGTACAGAGTAGAGTAGAGTAGAGAGTATTATCTCATTCTGAGCAGAGTGAAAGAGTGGTGTGAATTAATATTGGAGGAGGAGGTTGCGCAGCCTGTGGGAGACCCTGGAGGCGTCGAGGCCGATCCTGGAGCAGAGCGCCTGGGAGTGGAGAGTGTAGAAGATCTTGTCGCCGACGACGGAGAAGCTGGCGTTCACCACCTCCGCGCCTTCTTCCTCCAGCACGCCGATCACCTCGTGCAGCCGCACCGCCCTCTCCCTCTCCTCCCTGATCGCCTCGCTCACCACCACCACGTCCAGCGTCCCATCCTGGCACCGCACCTCCACCACCGGCATCCCGCCGCCGCCGCCATTGCTGGTGCTGGTGGTGAGTGCCGCCGCCTGCTGCTTCCTCTTCTTCAGCTCGTCGATCCTCCCCTTGAGCTGCTTGATGTACGCCGCCGCCTGCTCCAGGTGATCCAGCTGCGTCACAGCCTCCTGCACCATCCATCAGTAATATTTTAATTATTCAGTACACCACCACCACAGTTTAATTCAGTTACTACTACTACTACTACATACTTTTTCCACGTTTTTTTTGTTGTTGTTGATCCAACACTGTAAGGTGAGGTGTCAAGCTCATCGTTGTACCAGTATTCAACTATTGGAAACAGGAACTTTGGCATGATTAGTAGCATTGCTTTTGTTTGTTTTTCTGCAAGGGATGCTGAGGAAGGAATTCCTTTCTTGAAAGTGATTGCTGCTGTGACCTGAACGCACTGGATTGGATGGATTTGAGGTAGTGGTAGGTGGGTCACTGGATGAATGAATTATTGGTGGGTTCAGTTTGAGCAGAACAATGATCTGCACTGTTTGTGAATTGTGAATTGATTATATTGAGCTTGTGTTGTTCGTCGGTTAGTGTTGTGCTCTACCAATCCGTCACGTGGCTACAGCCAAAACAACTGGACTACTCTTCCATTGACAAAATATTTTCTTACAAACAAAGAAAGGAAGGAAAGAAAATAGTACTAGTAAAAAGGATGCGAGATCCATCCATTGGAAGCGCATCGCTGTCTAAGTGAGTGAGGGGCCTTTTTTTTGAGAAACAAAATCAGTCATATCAAAATATATATTCTATTCCAGCACGTGCCTGAAACTGTAGCTCAAGTCGTTCGAGTGCACGACGACTCACACAAACACAGATAGATACTCAATCCTACTACTAGTAGAAAAAGAAGATACTGCTCCACTAATTGTTATACTCCACTATCAGAAATACTAGTATTAGTCCTACAAAAACCAATTACCATGTCAACTCATATCATTTCCACTCCGTAAGTATCAAAACATTGGTGACCCTCAAAATTCAAAAAAGGTTTAGCCACCCAGCCAACCCTTTTGAAATCTTTTCTCTTTTAACTTTTTTTTGCTTGGCTTTTTTTACACGCACGCACGCACGCATTCGCGGCCATCTGTAAACGCCTCTGTTTATATATATGCAGCTTAAAAAGGCAGTAAATGAATGGTGTGTGCACGCAGTTACTCCTACGTAACCTGATTTTGATCATTAATTTGGTAGTGTTTGTGATTTTAATTAAAGAAGATGCGTGGTTACAAACAAGCAAGAATCTATGGTACTCCAGGAGTTAAGAGTAGCATATATACTCCTGGTAGAGAAGAAAATAATTACTAGTCCAGTCCAGATCGATGGAGGGGGTTGAGCTGAATGAATGAAGAGGCTAGCTAGGCTTGTAGTTAGAGAAGGAAAATGGCTGCAGAATACTACATAGCATATTTCAGTAAGCAGGAGGTTGCAAGTGATATAGTACTGTACTCCACTATATATGTGTGGATCTATTATTAATGTATGGTCCGGTCGATCCATGTAAAAAATATTTCAGTTGCAGCAGCAATTACTAACAAACATATGGAGGAGTATCTGAAACAAGAGGATGATTGATGCATGTTGTGGATAAAAAGAGAGTAGTACCTTGGTGGAGGAGGGCGGCGATGAGGAGGAGGAGGTGGAGTAGTGGTGGTGATGGCGGCGGGGAGCGGCGGCGGGGATGAGGGAGGAGAGCTTGAGGCAGAGACCCTTCATGTGGAGGCGCCGATTCTTCTCCACATCCTTGCGCTCCATCTTGCTACTGCTGCTGCTATAGCAGTTGCCGCCGCCTCCTCCTCCTCCGCTGCTGCTGGTGTGGCAGCTGCCTGCTGCTTTTGTGCTCGTCGTGCTGTTCTTCCTGCTCTTCATCCACCGAAGCGAAGATTGCTTCTTCCTTGAGTTAATTAAACTCAAGGATCGATGCAGGCAAGAGTGAGTACGTTTCTTGATCTCAGCTTCTCTTAAAGGATGGATGGAGCTAGAATAAAATGGATGGAGCTAGCAGTAGCAGTAGCAGATGGATGATGAGTGGTTGGGTTGGATTGGGTGGTCGATCTGCTCTGGTTCATTTTATAGCGGGTGGCAAGTGTGTGTAACAACAACACAATTGAGGGAGGAGGGAAATGAAATGCGGTCAACTGGTGCTTACAGTAGATCCATCCTGGTGGGGTGATGGGATGGGGGTGACCCCAGGGTTTTCGTGTGGGGCCCACCCTCCCGCGCACCACACCCACGTTGTCTGCTGCCTGACGCGTCACTGACTTCCTCTTTTCTTTTCTTTTCTTCCCTTTCCTTTTTTTATTTTATTTAATATATGCCCTCACATGATTTTTTTTTAATATAGTACTCCCTCCTCCGTCGTAAAATATAAGAAACGTCTTATCCGGTCTTACATATTAAAATATGATAGTAATTAGTAGCCATAAATTAAATAACTATTTGACGGAGCTCGTGGCTCCTCACCGGGAGACCGCGCAGGCCCCCCTTTGCCAGTTCGGCCGGGGGCTTAGGGTGAAATCTCAAGCTCTCGCTCTCCCTCTGTATCTGGAAAGATCGTCTGCCCGCAAGACACACGAGACACGGCGATGTATACAGGTTCGGGCCGCTGCGAAGCGTAATACCCTACTCCTGTGTTTTTGTGGATTTGTGTATGAATGAGCTACCAAGTGTGAGCCAACTTCTTCCCCGTTCTAAGCTCTAAATCTGGAAAAGAATCCCCCCCTTCTCTATGGGCAAGGTCCTCCTTTTATACTTCAAGGGGATACCACATGCACCCTTCCCTTTCCAAACTGGACTTTTCTTCTCTTTATTGACGGAGATTGGTATGGTTGCTGTCCGAATGACACTCCGATGGGACAGCCCACACCTACCTCCACTCCCGGCGGAGACAGGCGCAACGTGGGATCGTGGCTGCCCGTTGCTGACGCGACCAGTGCCAGACCGGTCATTCTTGTCCACCACGCGTCAGTTTAACAACATGCATGTTTGCCCTTCCTTGTGTAACACCTTGCCTGTAATGGTTAGGATGAAGCCTGGTATATATCGATCGGGGTTAACGTGCCATCTCTGGGATGTAACACGCTAGCTCCAGCTGGGGACGAGTGCTTAGAAGCTCACACCTTGACGGGATGGGGTAAGGCGTGCGTCAGACCGCCAGTCGCCACCTAACCCGTGATCTGACCGGTCTGTGACTGGTCACAGACCGGATAAAGGAACGCGCCGTACTGCGCTGCATGCAGCGTGACACGCCTGACCAGACTGCAATAAATGCTGTTAGGTGAGCACAGCTGTGCTCACTTATCCCATATATGTGGCGCAGACTTCCTTAAGGGGGTCGGGGTGCCTCGGCCCTCGGGGCCGGGGCAAGCGCAACCCGACCCCCCCTCGGGGGAAATCAGGAGGAGGGCGGACACCTCACCCTCGGGCCCGACGTCCCCGAAGGTGCCAGGCCACGTGGGCGATTGTGTCTGCCTCAAGCCTCTAGTCATGATACTCCCGGTCCCATATCACCGACAGTAGCCCCCGGCGTTATGCCAGAGCAATTTCCCTTCCCAAGGGAAGCGGTCAGGTGTGACGCCACCCTGTGACAGGTGGGACCGGTCTCCGTAGTTGGGCAAAATACCCAACGGTCTCAATCCATGCACATTGGTATTGGTAACTTTGGTTGTCCATAATGGGCGGTCTATTCAAGACTGCCACACCACTTGAGCAGCGCGCGAATCTGGGTGAGCAGATTCGTCTCGCCCGGAGATATGGTAACGCCGCTTCGGACGGCGAGCGTAATTAACGCGCGCACGATACAATCCATTTCGATTGCCACAACCGCATATCCACTCAATGCGCCGTAAGCGGGCGAATGGGATTAGTGGAAGCGTGGGCACGGGAAACGAGGGAGCGAGATAGCGAGATACGAGGGAGCGAGGTAGTGGGCGCGAGAAACGAGGAGTCAGGCCCAGCGATGGCAAGGGTATAAAAGCATCGAGAAAAGGATTTGCATCCTTCCTTTCGCCATTGTTCCTCTTGCCTTCGCCACCTGAGCTCTAACTCTTTCTCTGCTACGCCCTACTTTCGCCACACGCGCTCGTTCTCAATCATCTCTTCCTCCGCCGCCATGGCACGGGGCTCTGCTCTGCTCGACGGCAGTGTACTACCGCCTTCCCGCATCGTGAATGAGAGGCACGCCGGACTGCCGCGCCGCTTCATGCCGGAGTCCGCCACCGGTCGGGAGATAGTGATGCTGGGCGAGGGGCGCCCGGCACCAGACTACCCGGGGCGGTCCATCTTCTTCCTCCCCTTCGCGATGGCTGGGCTGGTCCCGCCATTTTCTCATTTCTTCATGGATGTCCTGGAGTTCTATGACCTCCAGATGGCGCACCTTACCCCCAATGCGGTGATGACATTGGCCATCTTCGCGCATCTGTGCGAGATGTTCATCGGGGTGCGCCCCTCTCTTCAGCTGTTCCGGTGGTTCTTCACCGTGCAGTCGGTGTCACCGCCGTCGGTGGTTGGCGGCTGCTACTTCCAGCCGCGGGGGCCGGTATTGAACCGCTACATCCCCTGCGTCCTTCGCAAGAAGTGGGACGACTGGAAGAGCGACTGGTTCTACACCCCCCTCGCCAACGAAGCGCGCCTCCGACTTCCAAGCCAGCCCCCGGCGCAGGTCTCCAGCTGGCGGGCACCGGTAGATCTGGGGGAGGACTACGACGCCGTCCTCGACCGCCTGGCGGGCCTGCGATCCCAGGGGCTCACCGGGGCCATGGTGTACGGCGATTACCTCCGTCGCCGGATTGCGCCGCTCCAACGGCGCGCCCGGAACGCCTGGGAGTACACTGGGCCTGAAGACTACATGCGGACCCACCAGGGAGCCAGATGGGATTGGGCTCCCGAGGACTTCAAGATCGTGGTCCAAAGGGTGCTGAATCTTAGCTCCGCGGAGGCGTCTCGCATTCCTCAGGAGATCCTCCCCCTCTGCAGCGATCCCGACCGCGCCTCCATTCTAACCATTATGATGGGGGTCGGGGCCTCAGAGGAGAGAGCCCCTAAGGGCCACGACGGCGCGGGCGAGCGCCGCCGAGGGGAACAATCTGCCCCAAGAGGGGGTCGTGCTTCTGGGCCCCGCGCCGGGGGCTCGGGGAGCAGCCGCCCTGCCGACGCCCAGGGGAAGAGGAAGCTGGGAGGAACACCTCCCCCATCTCCTCCCCGAGGGGGCGGGGCGGCGCGTGCCAGCAGTCGGCGCCCGGAGGGGGCCGCGCCGACGTCGCAGCCCGAGGGGGAGCGCAAGAAGAAACGGCTCCGCAAGACGGGGGAGACGGAACCATGCCGGGGGAACCTGATTTCTCCTCCAAGGTGGTCATTCAACCGACCCCCTCGCAGGTTCGTCTCACTCTCATTGCAACCACCTTTCTCCCAAAGAGAAGTTTTTTCTTACTCATTTTGTTCGTCTTTTGGTTTTTTCTTCTGCTTCAGCGATGTCCCGTCGCATTCCTCCCGCCACCCCAAATCCGGCCAGTCCGAGGCCGAAGATCCAGCGGCCGCAGAGGAGCGGAGGCGAGAGTCTGACCGGCGTGAAGCCGCAGCCCGCCTTCGGGAAGCTGAAGAGGCCGCCCGGGAGGCCGCCCGGGTTCGCCAAGCGGAGGAAGCTGCTCGGGAGGAGGCCGCCCGGGCTCGCCAAGCCGAAGAAGCTGCCCGGGAGGAGGCCGCCCGGGCTCGCCAGGCTGAGGCGACAGCTGCTGCTGGCGCGTCACTTGGGCCTACTCCCTCGGGCGGCCCTCAGGCGACATCCTCCGAGGCGGCTCGCGACGAGGCCGCGGGCGCATCGCCTGGGCCTACCTCACCGGGCGACGCCCAGGACCAAACGGGCCCGGGGGACATCCCCGAGCCCAGCGCATCCTCCGGGGGGCCAAGCCGCGTCGCCTTTTCTCCAAGGCGGCTCTTCTCCTCATCTTCTGTCGCCCCGCTGAGCGCCGAGCCCCTTCTGCAGGCCCTGGCCGCCGCAAACACCGCAGTGCTGGATGGGTTCAACACCCAAGTGGAGGCCCTGCGTGCAGAACGAGCGGAGCTCGAGGCCGCATGGGCGCGTGTTGAGGAGGGGCGGCGCTCGGTGGACGCCATGGTGGAGGTGGGCCGTAAGGCTCACCGCCGTCATGTCTCGGAGCTTGAAGCCCGGAAAGCGGCGCTGGCGGAGATCGCCCGTGAGGTGGAGGAGGAGCGGGCGGCCGCCCTCATCTCTACCACCGCGATGATCGAGGCGCAAGACACTCTCCGCCTTCAGCACGCAAGCTGGGAGGCGGAGCTGAAGAAAAAGCTCGACGCCGCCCAAGGGGTCCTTGACTCCGCCGCTGCCCGAGAGCGGCGGGTAACGGAGACTGAAGCGGCGTTTCGGCGGCGCGAGGAGGCCCTTGAGGCCCGTGCCATGGCGCTGGAAGAACACGCCGGCGCCGTGGATAGGGGCTTGACGGACCGCAAGGCCGCCGCTGGTCTCCGAGAGGCGACGCTGGCGGCGCATGAGGCCGCCTGCGCCGAGGAGGAGTGCGCGCTCCGCCTCCGCGAGGACGCACTCGCTGAGCGGGAGCGAGCTCTCGAGGAGGCTGAGGCCACGACCAAACGGCTGGCGGACAGCCTGTCCCTTCGCGAGGCGGCGCAGGAGGAGCAGGCGCGCCGCAATCTCGAATGCGTCCGCGCCGAGAGAGCCGCACTGGAGCAGCGGGCTGCTGACCTCGAGGCGCGGGAAAAGGAGCTGGACGCAAGGGCGCCTATCGGCGGGGCGGCCGCGGGCGAAAGCGACTTAGCCGCCCGCCTCGCAGCTGCCGAACACACCGTCGCGGAAATGCAGCGAGCGCTGGACTCCTCTACCGGGGAGGCCGAGGCCCTTCGCTTGGCGGGCGAGATTGGGCCCGACATGCTTTGGGATGCGGTCTCCCGCATGAAGCGCGCCGGTCGGCAAGCAGGCCTCTGGAGAGGCCAGACGACGGTGCCCCCCACCAATCTGGAAGGCCTCGCTCCGCACCTCAACAGGATGGCCTGGGTCCTCGAACGACTCCCCGAGGAGCTCGAGAAGACCATCAAGTCATCCTCGAGGGACCTCGCCCGGGGGGCGGTTGAACTCGTGCTAGCGAGTTACCAGGCCCGGGACCCC